AAAAAAAAAAAAAAAAGATCACGTCCACCGAGGATCTGGCCTGGCTCTAGGCATGGTAGTCAGCGACAAAACGGAGCCGAGTACCCAGGCTATCGAATTCGAAGTTCCGCGACTCAAGTACTCAGTACATAAGTACAGTACCGATTCATAAATGCCTCAAAAAGCAAGCATGTCGTACACGTTGCTAAGTACTGCAACATATTCACAATACCATCTTTGTATTCCTGTGGTTTAGTAGCATTTTTATTTTTGGCCGGAATTTTTTTTTATTCGCCCGCGCGCACTAGTTTGGGGGTCTTCAGAGGATGTCATCCATAAAATTAAATCGGTGTGGCCTAAAGAGGACAAAAACACAACATTCTTTACCCTCATTTTATTTCTCCAATATAACTCCCAAATATCCACATTTTTTTGCTTACGAAGCTAAATACAATCTCTACTGCATTATTATGGTGTTTGAGTGAAAATTATTCCCTCAAACTTGACTGCTTGCACACAGTGAGTGACATTGTCGTGTATATACATGGCAAAGCTCAAATATCTACTAAGAAAACAAACAAAAGGCAACTACAGCAATGACTTTCAGTCTACAACTTGTCAACAAAATGCAATGAAGTAATAACCAATGAAAAGAAGCGTTCTAAATTTCACCACAGACATAATGTAGATTGGGGCTGGAACACCCTCTTTGATTGGTCCATTCAATACAACAGAACATACATGAATATCAATGACTAAGCCATCATCCAATAAGAAATCACCCTTCACTAATAAATGTACACATTGAATATAAGTACACTAAAAGTATCCTTTGGACAAAAACTTAACATTAATTACTAATATATAGAATAGATACAGAAAATAGCATAGAGCCCTAACATTTATACATATTTTCCTGACATGAAAATATCACCATGTTCTACAGCATAGTTATGACAGCCTCACAAATTATTTTTGAATACCACTATACATAATGGGAATTGTGTATTTTCCAACAGTCTTTTGGAGGGGGTTCAGGGGGGAGGGGGTATAAGGGGGGTAGGAATCTTTCAAAAGGGCAAAAAAGAGACTGCAAAATAGTTTAGAATGGAAACATACAAATATTTTCATACACAGATCAACCTATTTTCCACTTTTGTGCCAATTTTTGGAACAGCGCAATAGCATAATATTCAACACTTCCACCTAACAAAATTGAAACCACTGATCCTACAAATAACAAATATTGAGTCATAATAATTCTCGTGTAATTTTAAAGATATTTTGTATTTTATGACTCACGTTTGAAAATAAAAACTGTGCCTCTCAGCTAGCTGCCTCTAGCTTTTAATATGCTTTTCATTTTCACCTTTATTTTTAAACTATAATAATCAAGTTAATACCAGTCAGAAGCATTGGTGGAGACTGGCATATTTTCAAAATATGAAATGGGGAGGGGGGCATACACAATGTACGTCTAATAGTATATCATGGTGCTGCATTTCTTTTATACACAACAGTTAACAAAATATAAGGGTAGGAAAAGAGTCCTAAACAAAATGGGGTGGTAAATTTTCTAGCATATTTTTTTTTTCCACAGACCAGCCAAAATACTGCTTGACTACAATTTCATTGGAAACATATCATGTACAATGTATAATACATATACCATTGCAAGTGACCTGTGTTATACTGTACATATACAACTGTAGGATGGTAGTTATATTTACATCCTTAAGTTTACAGCATTTACTATTATAATAGGGTGTTATTCTCTACATGTGTAGCTTACTTTATAATAACATTAGATTAAACACACACACAAACACTACACACTTATACAGCCCCATTTCTACATAAAAAAGCAACATATATGCAAGTATGCCAACCTAAACCTCTACTGACATTTATCAAGTATTGTAAGTTCATAAAATTCTTGGTAACATTTTGTATGGCCCTCTTAAGTTCATTTCCTGGTTTTGTACATGAGTTAAATTGTACATGTAAACTTAGACTAATTGCTAGTTAAGAACTCATACAACTCTCTCTCTATCCAGCCACGAAAATGAAAAAAAAACTCTCAATTATTTCTCAATACACCCAAGCCCTAAACAATCATAAATTACATTTTGTACCTACATGTACTGTGTACCTACAATATAACTTACACCAAGAACTGACACCAATTCATTTATAAATCTTGCAAAAGAAAAAAAAATTGACTGAGTGAAAAGAGAAAAAAGGCTCCACATGAGAGGTGTTGCCAAAAATAAGTCGTCATTTCACGTACATTAAAATGACTGTTTTACAATTTGTTGAAAAAAGGTTTGATGTCAGGTTTTCATGAAATTGTAATGCCTTTAAAGCTCATAGAATAAGAAGAAAACTATGCTCTAAGGTAACATACTAGTACAGTACATGTACATGTACGCGACTGTATGTAATCTAATGTTAGTGGGTTGAAGATTTGTAGTTCCGATTTGTCAGATGAATTTCCCAAATGTCATCTCTCACTGCTTTTCGCTTAGGCATATTTTTAAGAGAGCACCAGAAAATTAGTACTGTGAATCTTGAAATAGACACTGTGTGTTTAACTTGAACTCTTCACATCCACAAACTAGTGCCAGTACTTTAATTGTCATGCTACCGATTGTTTCAACAATTTTTGATTTTCACTGTGGCACAAAATCATACATTTTGTATAGATGTAAGAAGCCTTGTCTAAGAAGCCCACTTTTCCTCAGTACCCTGGGTGGTCGACTTAGACAAGTTTAACTGTATATGCAAACATTAAAAGTTGTTACACTACACATGTGTGCAAACTTCTTGTTGTTGCGAATCTTTTAAAAACCATGATCTTATCCTTGTAAGTCCAGCTGCCTGTGTTTGCCAGCCAACGTTGCGTGCTGGGTCAAAAAGCAGCTATCATTACAGCAGCGGATTACCAACTCAAACACAGACTCAGTCGAAAGTCTGGCGGATACTTTAGCATAATACTTGACCTAGATTTTTGTGGAAGTGTTGCTAACGTTCTGTTCACAATTCCTAATGCCATAGAATTAACACAACACTCAACCATAGGAAACTTTTCAAAATGACCAAATGAGTTACATGTACTTCAGTAACCATAAATGTATACCACGAATGTATAGATTTATTAGGACTTTAAATGATGTAAACGTTATCTTTTTGATATATTTTGTCTGACCCTTACCTCTTCCCTCATGACCTCAATGAAAAGTGACCTACAGGTCGATTTGAGCTCCTCATGAATAAAAATGGTTAAAAAAAAATTAGCAAGCAAAATTTAATTTTCAAGTTTACATACAAATTTTGTTGAAATTCAGTGGCCAAACAACTACTGGTTGTCAATTTGATTCAACTTGTCACATAATGAATTTATAGTCTAAATTTTATCATTTTATGATACTGAACCATACATGTAGCTATGCACTGTTTATCGTAAATTCATTTACGAAATTCATTTATTTTTGCCGGGACTTAACTTTGCAGTTGGTTGGAAATGGATGTTTTTGGTGCGCTTTGAGTTTATGATAAAAATGATTCTGTAGTACTGTAGTCACACAACGGAAACGTACATGGATATTCTCGGTGTCACGATTTTGCAAAAAAATAAAATGGCAGCGAATATTTCCAGATTCACAGTACTCTCCGGCTAGCCTGGTATCCAGTCTGATCGTGATTGGGGGTATTGGGGTGTTTAGGCAGGTTGTGTCTTCGGGGCCTCTAAGAGCTTCCCCCGCCCAGTGCAACAGACCGTCCCGGTAGGAGTGTTACGCTAATCAGAGACAGTATGCTCGGGGATTTGGTTTCCCCCAACGTAATTAATCTCTCGTGAAATACACACCGGGAAGCTTATGTGAGGTGGGCGGGCCAGAGCTCTTGCGGCCCCCACCACGAATCAGACTGGATTCCAGGCTACTCTCCGGCATGCGGCATCTCTTAGTCCATCTTCAGGTTGACGTAGATGTAACGGATGAACTTGAGAGAAGCGAAGAAGGAGACGGTCCCCAGACTGAGGAAGAAGGCGTAGCAGATCAGGATGGTGTAGCCGAAAAACTCCACAGTCTGCAGCGTGCCCGACATGTTGGAGCGCTTGTAGTAGTAGAACAGAGCGTATAGGAAGATGAACACACCGGTGGACCTGCAGAGAAACAACAACAACAAAAATTGTCAGATTCAGAAACAAATTAAAGCATTTTGAACTTGGCTGTTAAAAGACATGTTGGAGCACTTGTAGTAGTGGACCTACAAAGAAACAAAAAAATTAATATTTAGTGTCAGATTTTAGTTTGTCAAATTTTAGCCCAAGCATCAGTGTGCAAGCACGTCTAACCCTCTTAGAATGGGGAATAACAGGCAATAAACCAGATAGTGAGTGAGAGATTCTAGGAAACTCTAAAGGACTTGTTGGCCCTATGGACATGTTGGAGCGCTTGTAGTAGTAGAACAGAGCGTACAGGAAGATAAACACACCGGTGGATCTGTACAGAGGAACAAAAATAAAATTCAGTGTCAGATTCAAGAAAACCCTATAGAATTGGTGCTCCTAAAAACATTTGTAGTAGTAAAACAACACATGCAGGAATATGAACACATTGGTGGACCTGCAGGGAACAAAAAAATACAATTTTAGTGTCAAATTTTAGTCTCAGCATCAGTGTGCAAGCATGTCTAACCCTCATGGCATAGGGAACAACAGGTGGTCTTAAATCGGTGGACCTACATGTAATAGATAAATACAATTTTAGTGTTGGATTGAACAAAAGTTGGTCTAATGTGCTTTAACTAAGGGTTGTTGACTCAGAATCTGAAGGTTCTGGGTTCCAATCCCAGAGCAGTTCTAAGTGTCATGTTCTTGGGAAAGGCACCGATTTCCTTATACGTGTATGTGTGTGTGCGTGTACATGTATGTGTATTGCAAAGCAGTATACTACTAGTCTTCTCTGAGTGACAGTTGAAATGTAGGGTTTTCAACACTTTGAAACTTAGAAATTAAAATTCCAGTAGTACATACAATGTAATACTAATTACCTTCGCCAAGAAGGTTATGTTTTCAGTAGCGTTTGTCTGTGTGTGTGTGTGGTTTAGCAAGATAACTCGAGAAGCAGTGGATGGATTGGAATGAAACTTGGTAGGTGGGTAGGACTTCATGAGACCTAGAAATGATTAGATTTTGGGCCCCCTGGCGGCTTTCCTAGGTACTGCAGCTGAACTTCCGGTTTTGATATCTCATGTTCTGGACATGCTAGGGTCACGAATTTTGGTTGGTAGATAGCTCTTGGGGTAGGGAAGAAGTGACATGAGTTTGGGTCCCCTAGCGCCTTGTTCTGGAACTGCAGGAGTATTTGTTGAAAAAAATTTGAAGGACGATAACTCAAGAACCGGTTGACGTATTGTCGTGATTTTTGGTATGTAGGTAGTTGAAGTAATGCTTGACATAATCAGATGGCAATTATGCAAATCAGGAGCTAATTTGCATAATTAATGAGGAAATTCTATAAATCTGATTTGTTCGATAATAGAACTATGAAACAGTTGTGACATCTACTTGAGAACGAGAAAAACATCTGAGGATGTAGATTATGTAAATGAGGACCTAATTTGCATAATTAATGGCAAATTCTTATAATTCCATAGTTGTAACTGCTGCACCCCGAATTTCATACTTGCCGCATTTGGAAGTTAAGTGAAGGTGAACATTAATAAACATAATTTATTCAAATCATGACCTCATTTGCATAATTTATGAGGAAGTGCTGCAATAGCCTTTTTGTTATGATAAGGCTGTCATTGGGTGGAGAATATGATCAACTGATATAATCCATGCAAATGAGGCTCTTATTTACAAAATCAATGATTAAAATTGTAGAATTCGTCACCCGCAAGGGTTAACATCTTTTGGCGAAGGTATGAGATCGTGGAACTCTTGTTCATACTGTAACAGTTTGGTCACGAAATTCCATTCAGAAAATAGACAGACTTTTAAAATCATAATCTTGCCACAAGCCATTAACAGTGACCCAAATACTTCTTGTACAAAAAGTCATTTAAATGCATAACTGCCAACACAACACTCTGTCTGGTGTAACCATGCAAGAAAAACAATGGCATGTTTTTCTACAACATTGTTCTACATCTAGTCTCATTGTTCACTAATTCATCAGGTGTGAGCTTCTTATTTCTTCCCAAAACATTGTCTATTTGTGGACACAACATACGTCACCACACTGGAACAAAAATGTCATTAGGAAAAGGAACAATAACAAATTAGACACAATAAGGTGTTGACCTGTGGGCGTTGCCTCAAAATTCCAGTTTGCATGTTAAGTTGTTGACATTGTTGAACTTAGATTGTAAAAATGTTTTGATGTCAGGCAATTAAATGTCAGGAAAATAGCTCACTGATGTTGACTGCTTAGGCCACACCAATTTAATTTCTTGGTTAACGGATTTTTCTAGAAAAATAATGGAGCGGGTGGGCAAAAAAATGAATAAAATAAAAACAGGCCTAGGCATCCTATTATGGCCCAAAAAGGTACGATAGGAGCCATTAAGTCAACACACCAGGCTGGTTCAAAATTTAAACAGTGAATTTTGAACTTTTAATGATACCATTGCATTGAAAGATGGAATAACTGTAACAACTAGGAAGAAAAGGACTGTTGTCAACGGTTCAGGGCAAAATATGAGCATTTTGCAGTTGATTCTGAATTTTTATTTTTATTTGCAAATCAGAAAAAAATGAAGCGGGCGGATCCGTTAACCAAGAAATTAAATTGGTGTGGCCTTAGATTGTAAAAATGTTTTGATGTCAGGCAATTAAGTGTCAGGAAAATAGCTTACTGATGCTAACAGCTTACTGATGTTTTTTTCTCCTTGTATACTCGTAATCAACTTACTTTCTGGAGCTTGGAACATATTAATCTGCTCTATTTTAGCTTTAAATTTATCATTCTTAAACCGATAACCCCAAAACTTATTTTCATGCTCTCCCGTGATATCTTAACCCTGTAAAATGCTATTTTCTGCACTTTGAGGGGCACATTTTGCTGGTAAATTAAGGTTAGTTTGATTTAATCTACACGCCAAATTTTGTCTGTCAAAGATGATGGATTTCGTACTGTCCGTGTGTAAATTGGGTCCAGGCCACACCAATTTTTTACAGTTAGGAAAGGTGAAAACAGAGGGATGGGAGAAAAGTTTTTTCTCATCCTCTCTGGCTATACATATAATGAAGAAGAAGACCTTTATTGTACATTGTAAATACAAGCTCCAAGTTTGTAAGAAGAGAGACTAAAAGGTTAACCATAAGAGAATCTTTAACTACGAAATCAGATTAAACAGCCCTGATCTGATTCCTAAAAGCGGTACAAAGATAGGACAGTCGTCTTTAGCTTTATACCAAGGAAGACTTCCTTCGTTAAGACTCCTTAAGACAGTTCTTATACCAGGTAGGCTCTGAGACTCGCTCCTTGTGAGTAAACACACCTTCTATTCAAAGGAAAATCACCAAAACTGAGTAAACCTTGTCTTGTTTTGGAAGTGAGAAAAGCCACATGGCCTAAGTGTAACAGATCCCATACCCCAAATCACTTAACAGTCCTACAAAGAATCAAATCTTTTTTATCTATCTACAATATGTTCATGAATTTTTCTACTCATTTTCTGAAATTCCAATATTAAACATTTTCAATAATTTCAACAACAAGTTCCCATGTTTGAGGAGAGCCACACATGTCAAAGAACCCACCGCACTTATTGAAAAGAGTAGGGGTCCTTCGAAGTGTGAGTGGTTCAAACCTTACAGTCCAGTCTTACACAGCTTGTTACACTTATTTGTAGTACAAAACTGGTGTGTTATGCCTTATAAGGCAGCTTACTGGTTATGCGAAACAAACAAGCCTACAGTATGTATAGTAGGACAGTATATATATAGGACTACGTACCAGTACATGTACATGTACCTGTACAATTGTTGTTCTAATGTGGAAGGCGGCACTTCACAGTGTTTTGAGTCGTGGTCGAAACAATGTGTGATGCGAATACTCGATTTTAAATCACTGTGAACATTCCACGATTTATAGGAACTTAACTTAAAAGGTTGAACTAGAACTTCAAACACTGGAGATTCGGAAAAAGTCTTTGAAGTTGGAAATAACTTCAAGAATTCAAAGTGACCACTGTTTGCATACAGTGTTTTGAGGCACAATGTGTATGGTGAATATTCCATGTAATTTACCACGGCGCATATTTCACGATTTATAATATTAGCCCTTGGGCATGAACTTGCAATAAAGAACTTATAATAACTTGATAATGAAAGATGAACTTTAAACACTGGAGGTTCGGAAAAAGTCTTTGAAGTTGGAAATAACTTCTAGAATTCAAAGTGGCCAATGTTCGAACTTCCGTGTTTCAAGACTTAGCCTACAATTGAAACAATGTGTGATGCGAATATTTGATGTAATTTACCACTGCGCATATTTCACGATTTACAATAACTTGACTTTTAAAAGGTAGAACTTCAAACACGGGAGGTTCGGAAAAAAGTCTTTGAAGTTGGAAACAACTTCTAGAATTCAAAGTGGCCAGTGTTGGGACTTCCGTGCCGTGTTAGAGAACCCAGGCATTCCACCAGTGGATGTTATGTCTGTCCTTAAGCCACAGAAATAACCACATCCTTGGCAGGGCCATCCTTGGAACGGGAACCTCTAATTCCCCACTAATGCCGCAGGTTAAAAGCATGGTGTTCTGTCAGGAAACTTTTACTCAGCCTACCGTAATCTGCGAAATATTTGCAGTAGTTTTATGTACATATTTTTTGAGATGAGCTCTCACCATAGCACAAATATGTTGTATTACAGTACGACACTGTTGTTTTTTAAATGTATTTGTTTAACACGACAAATTCTTCCTTTTTGATCCTATCACAAAATTAAGACTATGTGAAAGTAAAATGTTTTACAGTATTTCCCAGGCTTAAGGACTTGTACTGTACTTGTTACTACAGCTTTAGAAGCTGTAACAGCATTAGGCCATAGCAATGTAATATTATGGATACATTTTCCCCTACATGTACAAAATTTATGTACATTGTACATTGTGTTCCTTTCAAAAACTTAATTAAGTCAGTTCAATATT